AAACTTCACTTTAGTGGAGGGGATTCACTGTGATCCAGGGCTTTTTCTGGTTTCCTTTTGTAGTCTATGAAAAAATTTATTAGACACCAATGAAGGATTGAAGAGCAAAAGAAAAAAAATTGCACTTGTTTTTTATGATGACAATTGGCAGCTTATCATCTTTTACAAACCAACCCTGTAACGCCAATGATTTTTGAGAAATTGAATTCAACGAAAGTGCCTTCTGGAATTTTCATGCTGGGATTTATTTCCCCTCGCATTATCTTTATCTTTTTTTGCATATTTTTTCTAAATTTCTGATGATAAGATACGCATATTATTTTTGCACTTCCAAAAAATTTGCGTCTCGTATTGAGTAAAGGCGGTAGATTCGATCTCTTTGCCGCAAAAAAAAGCGGGAAAAGTAACGGGGCATTCAACCCTTCATGTGACATCAGCTCAAGTGTACAAAAGTTTCTTCTTCCTGGTCTTGTTGGTCGCGAAGGCTCAATTAGCGCGCAAACTGCGGACCTCGCAAAAAGAAAAAGACAAAAGAAAAAACAGGTTTTCGCACAGTGGCTCATCATCCCCGCCTCGACTAGATAAACACATTCCAAACGAGCTGCTGGCCTCGTTAGCGAAGCCCGGGCTGACCTCGCATGCGGCAAAATGCCCTGATTATTTTAGAACGCGCAGCCCAGCGACGGAATTAGCGCGCACAGTCACGCCGCTAAATTTAGCAAAGGGTTGCTCGCCCGGGTGGCCATTTCTAGTGTATTCCGAAAGGAACCCGGCTAAGCAAGCAAGAAGACGACAATAATAATAACAAAATGTGACTGAAAAGTGAAATTTCAACGCGATTTTCGCGAATGGGGTTACGAGCCTCTTTTCGAAAGTTTTTCTCCGTCTTTATGCTTCCCTGTAGTTGCTTGAGAGTTACTCGTTAAATTGATGGAAATTGGCATGAAATTAAAGCAGGAATACGTGGCCAATTTTTAACCACTATTATAATTGTTTTCACCCAGGTTGAAATAACGAAAAGACTAGTATTTGCAATTTTACTCCAGCCTCTCGTGAAAGTCGCCTACCTTTAATTGACAGTTTAATCGCTTTTGAATACTTCAATTGATTGAAAAATTCTCCAATTAACATTCTTCCAGATTTTACAACCAAGTTTTGAGCTCAAGGACATTTTTTTTTTCGTTACTAATGCTGAGATAGAAGCAAGACTGACCAAAATATGTCGAAATTTGCAAAATGTTGCATTAATTTCTATGCCGTTCTGTTTGTGTTGGATACGAGAATTTAAAATCGCCGAATGCATTTTGAAAGCCTTTTGAACACCTCATATACCAAAAACTAAAAAAGCCTTCTTCTCAACAGACTCGTCTAAAAATTTTTGAAGTATAGTAGCCGCTAATGAAAATGTTTTTATCGTGTTATACTGTATTTTCGCCTGCGAACTTTTAACAACCCTTGACTTGCAATGATGAAAAAACCAAGTTGTGGATCTCGAATTTTTCGAATGACATCCGAGCTTGTTAGATTTGTTTTCGTTTCCGAAAATCAAAAGCCAATGGGAAAAATTGCCGTTTTGTTTGTGGTCGAAAACGTCGCGTGAAGCGTTTCAAATTTTTATATGACATTGCACTTATTATTTTATTAGGACCATGGGCTTTTAAGGGAGTTTTCTCATGTCCTGTGCAAAAAAATAATTGCATTCACCCCGTATTCAGAGGACTGCTTAAGCATTCCGTTGTGAATCGGAGTGCAAAATTAAAAGTTTGATTTTATTACTTGCAAATCTGAACAATGCGCATAGGGAATGATTTATCCAAGTTTTCTTTTTAGATTTAAAAGAGGGGAAAATACTAGAAGGAAATATTGACAGGAAGTGAAGCATCTTTATGATTTCCTAATTTGAATTCTTCGACTTCCCGTGCATCGACATCTGTTCCTTCGAATAGTTATTTATTCTAATCAGTGGGATGTGACCAGTACTCCTCGTATGAATGTGTCAGGAATGATACATTCCTTTTTTTATTTTCCTCCAAGATAAAAACAATAAACTCCGCCAAATCATTTGAGTGACTTGAGGAAAAAAACGCTTGCTTCTGCAAGTACTCATATCTGTCGTAAGTGTCGGGGGAGACTTTTTGAAATGCAATTTCAAAATGTCCTATTTTCTCTGGAAATTAATGGATTTTGATGCCCATTATTTCGACAAAAGTACGAAAGAAATTAAATCCTAATTATATTTTGAATTCGATTTCAGCAATCATCAAGAACAGTTCTTCAGGCAAATTCGTAATTCTTTCTCTGCTCACGTATTTTAGACATTATCATATTCTAGTGACGATGATTTTTTTTTTCAGTCCATCGGGCTGAGATGAGAACAAAAACAGAAATAAAAGCGGAGGGAAATCGAAGTACTGTATGTACTCAAAGTGGCAGCGAGCATTTTTTTAAAGTCCACCATAAGTTTTAAAATTTTCAAAAAAATAGTTGACCAGGAAGTCTCGAATTTCTTCAAGAACTCGCCCTCTTAAGTTTTGTTCATTTTTAGTGTAGATTCCTCTCGATAAATTGCGTACAGTTCGAACATTTAAAATGGTTGAAAAATAATTCAGAGAGATGAGTTTTGAAAAAATATGTAACTTCCGAAAAGCCAGGAAAAGCATAATTTGATGCAGCCTTCAAATTCTACTTAAATAATGCAAAAATTGTCCAAAAAATGTCTTTTGAAGAATATTCTGTATGATGAATATGGGCCTTTACGAGGGATTTATTTTTCTTGTTCGTTTTAAATTTTATAGCCCCGAGTAATGCCTGTAAGTACAAGAATGATCAAATTTTGCCAGTACGTAGTTTTATTTTCTTGCACTTTTAAATCTCTGATTGTTCATCATTTCAACCCGGGTGAGCAAAATGTCGGGGGAAAAATTGAAAAAAGTCATGCAGTGAAAAATGTGTTCTTCTTCAGCGTCAATTTGAAGAGAAGCACAAGGGGAACAAAACTTATGAATCAACCTGTCTTAGATTCTTCAAAGCCATAGACTATTCCATTGAAAAATGGAAGTGTGTATGAATTCCTTCCTCGCTCGTAAAATGCGGTTTCGAAATGCGTAGAAAAGTTAAACAACGGTGCGTTTGGGAACAAATAAAAAAAAGGGATTACACAGCCGCTGACGGTTTAAATTTAGCAATAGATCGTTTGCAGGGTGGACATTTTTCGAGCACCTTGGGACGGCACGTGCGCCAATGGCGTATGTACCTGGCACCTCATGGCATCGACACTCGACACGTTTCAGTGCCAGGTGACAATTTTTCCCTGCGTCGACAAAAGGAAAACATTATTGATACGACGGGGGAAATATATATAGGCGCCAGGAAATAATCCGGGGTTCAAGGTCATTTTTAGCGAACCATTTTATTAATTGTTTTGGCTTTGAGGTATGTCGTCCCATTTACAACTATAGGAAACATTCATAGGAAATCATTGCTTCCTCTCAATATGAAGCTTTTTCCTCGACTTTCATTGATGCAGCAATGAACAAATCAAAATTTCAGTTCTGAAACTTGCGTCGGCTCCCGGAGCGAGCTTCGCATTTTAGCAATAAAACGATTTCCTGTTCGAAAGCTGAGGTATTCGACCTTCGAAAACCTGAGACTAGAAGCAGAAACTTCTGTACAGTTCTTCGCTTGCGAAAAATCTGGTTTGATACTGACATGAAAAAAAAAAAGATCCGGATTCATGCCGGAATAATGCTTCGGTTGTGTTCAAAGCGCGTAATAAACTTCACACAGGGACATTTCAGCAATCCAATACGTTCATGTTTTAATCTAGATTTTTTAAATCAATCAGTACGAATAAATTTGAGGCGCCATCAACTGCAAAACGTCGCAGAATGAAAAAAAATATCTCTGTTTGATGATTCAGCCGATTCAGAAAAAAAGAACGTTGTATACATTATTCCGATGAAACGAAGGTCCAAAGTTCAGCAACTGTAGATGCATTAAGTTCGTCGTCTTTTGGTTCACTAAGGGCTTTTTAAATATCTTACCTGCATTTCCAAGCATCTGCGAAATTACTGTGATTAGTCAGCTTATTGCTTTCTGTTCTCAGAAAACGGGATTCAAATTCAAATCGGGAAATCCTAGAGAAGTTGAAGATTTGATGAAACATATTCATTTGGTTGATGTTGGGCACAGAATACGTAGCTGTACCGAAACTAGATAATCCCAGATTAATTCAGAATGCTGCACGTACGAGGGTTCTAACAAAAGTTCTCGGAATAGAAATTAAAATGGCATGTCATTGAGCTGAAAAAATTTTTTTTTTCGGGGAAAACATATTCTTTGGCACAAGAAAAAATCAGCCCTGTTTGACAATTTTTTTTAATGTTTTGCAAAATTCACCCTGGCAGAGTTTTGCTCTCCACACAAAAGATGAGGCGCCCTTCCTGCAAATTTTTTGTTGTTGTAGTCCAGCTTTCCCCTCAGAATTCTTGAAATCAACGTGGCTTTAATCCCAAGGGTTGCCTCCAGGTCTTCCAATGCAATTCCGCTATTTTCAGCAACAGCCGCCACATTGGCGGCTGAAGGCAACCGTTAGGATTAATGCCGCGATGATTTCAAGAATTCTGAGGGGAAAGATGGGCTACACCAACTAAATCTGCGGGGAGGGTGCCTCATCTTTTGAGTGGAGAGCAAAACTCTGCCAGGGTAAATTTTGCAAAACATTTGAAAAAAATTCGTCAAACAGAGGGCTGATTTTTTTCTTGCGCCAAAGAATAAATTTTTTTCAGCTCGATTATATGCCATTTTAATTTATATTCCGAGAAATTTTGTTAGAACCCTCGTATATCAATACAAAAAAACTATCTACTGTATTAGCATCTGGAAGGCCAGATATGCTCTCTTAATTGTCTACGTTCAACTACAGAATTTTTTTCCTATGTCGAATAAAATCACTCCTCAGCAGTTTCCACATGTCAAATGTCACATGTCAAATCACACATCAACAACTTGATGAATGAACAGAAAACACTTGATACTAAAATTATTCATGATTTCCCCATAGTTATTCAACAAGAGGATAACCTTCATCATCGGTACTTTCTATAATCTATAGACCGGAGGCTTCTGAATCCCACCTCTTCTTAATTGGTTTAGAATTCTGCTTAATTCTTTATCAAAAGCATCGCGGCCTGATTCCCTACCAGCTTATGGACCTGAGCTCTAGTGGACAATTATTACCGACAAGGAACTCGAGAGGGGAACTCAACATTCTTTCGGGAACCGGGAAAGTCCCTGCGTGTTATCGTGAAACAAGACGAGAGAATGTTGAGAAAGAAGAGACAGACAAAAATAATGATTATATAATGTTGAAGGAGCCCAGCACCGGAATCCTTGGCAACGGGTTTCATGTTCCCTTCACGAAGAAATTCCTACTCTTGTTTTGTACCGCCCGCGACGAGTGCAGATGCTGCAGAAGGAACTTCCCACCAACCTGGACGAGTTTTTTTTTGTTTTTTGGTCGATCCCTTTCATTTTTGAGTCCCCCGAGGAGGCAACGATGGCTTGTTTTCTTTGTGATTTTGCGTCCCTTTCAAGTCCGAAAATGTTTCTAGTATGTTCTTTCCGTGGATTTTTATAAATCGGTTCACCCCAAGAAAGTACCGCATTACCGCGAAAATGAGAAACGTTTAAAATTGCTGTTTTGCAAAAAACCGAGCGGGTTTTCGATCATGTACGGATCGGATGAGAGTATTGAAGAGATTTTCAAACAACTGTGTCTCTTTTGTGGTTCGAGCTACAGCAATTGACACACAGTACTGTATTCATTTAAAGCTTTTTCAATAATTTTTTGAAATTATGTTCGATTTTACGGTCTGGGTTGCATTTGAATGTTCAGGAAAATAATTTTTTAAAAGTAGTTCGTATAGGAAGGCAATAGGGTTTGTCCCAGTCACACGCACCTTCACTTTTTTTTTTCAAGCAGCCACTCAATCGACACATTCTCGCAGTTGAAAAATATAGATATTTGTAGTACTGTATGTCTATGAATTATTAAAATTACTGTATGTAAAAGATTTTTTCCAAGAAAGAAATTCTGACGGAAATCAGCTTCTGTGTCGGAGTTCCAAGTGCAGTTCATAAACACGGAAAAAAATCTGTTAAAATATGTCTACTTTTTCTCTTCCCCGGTTTTTTTTTTTTTTGTATTAGGGTTGCCCTAAAATTCCGTTAAGGATGATTTTTTAATCAAGCCATAATTTTCTGAAGAAAACATGGTAGTGAATCAGGGCGGAAAGGTTGTACAAACCATCAGCTACGAATATTGAAGAACCATCGCTTCAAATAACGCGTAAAATCGTTCCTCGAACAAAAAATGGGAAATGGAGAAAAGATGGGAATCGTTGAAAATTTCTACTGAATTTTAATCAACAGTTAATGCTTGCTGGGAATCAGAAGAAATGGATCTTTCAAGGAACAGATAATTATATGGATGATAAAGCGTGAAAATTCTTCACAGCTCGAAGGGATCTTCTTCTTGATGGATTGGACATGCCTGCCAGTCAGTACTAATCAGGAATTCAAAAAGTTCATCAATCTTTTCTAGCCTTCCTTCTAATTATTTATTTTTTGTCGTTTCGGGATGATCAATAGCATCGTTGAGAATTCCACTCAAATGAAAATGACTGAGAATGAAATGAGTTTGGATGCGCGACCCCGAAGACGAATGTTTTCAGTCGCTTGATGATGTTTTGAGTACGTATTTAATTGTTTGCATCGGAAAAATCCGGGATGATCTTTTTTCGAAGGTATAGTAGCTCTGAAATCTTGGAATTCCTCACGATCATTTGATTCATGATTATTGAAGGAGCTTCAATTTTATACAGTATCACCATTTCGAAAGCTCGAATAATGCCAGACACTTTGCTCCTTAAAATGGGTTCATTGGTTAACCCATCGTAGGAATTCTCGAAATTCAGCGGTATAGTGAGTACGGAATAGAAATCGTTCTATTTCGTCAAAATTTGAATTTAAAAGCTGTCTCTTTTCAAGGAACACCCAGACTTCTTAGAATTTATATTGGGGACAAAAGACCTCAATATAATTTGATGTTGAGTATTTAATTGATAAACAATAAAACAAGTTGATCAGTCTGGGGCAGGACCAGGATTCCATTTTGGAATTCCTACCTTAAAGGTATGAACTGTATTTCACATGAGTATAAAAAAATGAACAACTCAAGGAGCTCAACTTGTAGGAATAAGCTTGAGAATAACTTGAATAACACAGTTGAACTGAACTGATCTGAATCTAATAAGAGAAGTGCTGCTTATATATGAAAAATAATAATTACCTTCATAAGGTTTTATTTTACAATCAGCATAGGAAAGCTAACGTCAAGGATGTTGCATTTTGAGGAGGGGAAAATACTTTTATTTCTAAGAATTGAGTATACTAGAGCATATTACTTTACATGCTCCCCAACCCGTGGTCCGTAGCCGGGTTTGTAGACTTTTTTTTTGCTGGTTCGCGTAATAAATTTATCAAAAGTAGCAATGAAGGATGCTACTGTGCAGAATTTTTTCTGCTGACTTTGACGGCAGTAATGAAATCCCTGAAAAGGTGACAAAAGACGAATACGAAATCTAAATCGGCGCGTCTCGGGACACGCCTCAAAAAACCGTAAAATAATCCCCTCGACGGGGCGGCAAGACAACAAGATTACAAACACTTGAAAACTATTCACAGACCAATCTTCCTTGAAAACAACAAATTCTATCCTATCCTCCAGGGGTCATACGATCCCTGTTCTCTTATCTTAGCAAAAGAGGGTATAATTTTCGCCAGCTGCTGGCCATATTTGTTCGTTGTCCTCTGGTTCCCGGAAACCATTTGTCGTCCAAGAAACACGACACGCCCGACTTCAAGTACACTCTGGCAGCAATTCCAAAAGTCAATTTATCTTGTCTTCCTAAAAATTTGCACAGCCTTGTAAAATCTCGGAAATCCAAAGCACCCGGTTTTCGGGGAAAACAGCAACTCGAGTTATTATCCTTCTGGAACTGTAAAACGGCTAGAAGTTGTAAAATCACCAGCACCTGGTATTTTCGAAAACTCCAAAACCCAGCAGCTGGGACAAGCATTAAAAACAGGACCATGTTGCTTTCTAAAAATTATATAAGACCCTTGTTTTTTCTACACTACACACAGTTCAATTTTTGCCGTCATTGCATTGCATCGTGTCCGTGAATCTCGTACCTTTTTTCGGAAATATTCCAATTTGTTGCTGAATCTGTTGTGCATATTTACGGTCTGAAAACTGTTGTGAATATCCTTGTATTTATATATGTGTCCTTATAACTGAATTTTAAACAAAGGCTTGCGCTGCTTGGGAGAGAATCCCTGGTCGGTTTGCGCACTGGCCAATTGTTGTGTTGAATTCATTTTCTATCTGTCAATCTTTTCAGTTTACACCTACTGTTTAATTACATCCTAAAGTGTTCTTGATCACAGTTAATTAGTTGCATCAATAATATTTAGCAAGGTGTATGGCTTGACCAATTTTTCTTCTCAATAAAAAACCGTACAGCTACAGTTCCTTTATCTGAAATTTTGGCAAGACAATGGCCGTTGGGATTATCTCATGGAGAAATGTTGGGTTTCTCTCCTAACGACACTTCGAACAATTTTTCACCTGATGAAATAAATTCTTTGCATTTTTCATTCTAACAAATCTTTCTTCAGGCCCACCTTTATACATTTTTTGAAGCCATTCCATTTTGCTGTAGCTGCTTCATTGGTTCTATACTCAATTTTTGCAACAAAAAAAGCGGAATATTCTCTAGTACCTGCCATAAAGTCTTTGAAGCAAATTTTCTGAGCCTGCAAAAATTTTATGAAATGTTGCCGGTCCGCAGAATTTTTTATATTTTGTATTTGCCGGTTCGCAAAATTTTTTCTGGAAATTTCTTGGTCCGCGGGCCCAAGAAAAGTTTGAGGAACACTGTTCAAAAGGATTACGGAACTTTGATTATTCATCCAAGGAAGAGAAAATGAAATTCTTTACGTTATAAAAACGCAAGCAAAGGTTGCAGTATATTCTTGACGAACAAAATAATTTTGCGGTAATACCGCAAGATTTTATTGATCTCCAGGCTTCTTACCCTTCCTAAAGTTCCCAAAATATTCGCAGAAAGGCTTCTCAAAATTGGAGGTTTGAGAGGGATGAATTAGGAAGGTATATTCGACATTGATCTTGAGGGAATCCAGACTACAGCGAATAAACAGGAGTCCAACATAGGGAGATATGACTTGGCAAGGACCAACTGTCCTGCGCGCCAAAAACGTACTTTTTTTGAAGGCAGATGTCATTTAAATGTTGTTTTTCTGTGAAGCTTGACTTTTATTCAGCTCAGTTTATTCTCGATGCATCAGTCATGCGCCCCTTCCGCTTATTTCAGTACCCATAGTAAAAAAAAATATTTTTCTCTCGTTTATATATCACCTGGAAGACCACACGTGACGGATCATTATTCAAATTGGAAATTATCATCGGTTGCATCACTTCTGAAATACGGTAGTTTTTTTGCTGTATCTCATTCAACAATTGATGCAGAATAGATGAAGGATGCAAAGAAGTTGTAACTTCTCCGAAATTTTCTTTTTTTAAACCAGTTCTTTAAATGTAAACTTACATTACTTATTTTTTCTTTCTCCTCAGTGAGTATTTCCAATTGTAGCGAGACCCAGAGTTGCGGGAATATTTGGTGCATCAAGTGTCCGTAAGTTGAAATGTCCCTAAGTTGAGTCTCATTTTCCCTTCGACTTACACTATATAATTTTTAATTGGTGTTTTATGTACAAAATACTAACCATGATTCCCTGAAAATAAAAATTGTCTCCCAATTTAAACTGAATCAATCAATATATTTCAACACAATATGGACATTTGGGGCACCAAATATTCCCGTAACTCTGGGTCTCGCTACAATTGGAAATACTCACTGAGGAGAAAGAAAAAATAAGTTACAAAATACTAACCATGATTCCATGAAAATAAAAATTGTCTCCCAATTTAAACTGAATCAATCAATATATTTCAACACAATATGGACATTTGGGTAATTGAATACTGATACCTCTGTACAGTACATAGAAATGTTGGTATTCTCTGTAAAAAAAAAATAATTCAAGTGAAAAAGAGAAAAGGAAGTCCCTCTATGGTGGAGGTAATTTTTTTAAATTAGCTAAATGGATGGTAAATTTGGTGAGAGAAATGCCCAAGAAATTTTCTTACATCAATTTGAGGGTTGGAAATATCTGTTTAATATAATTTAACCTGAAATGTATTTGCAATTTTATCACAAAATGTCCCTATGTCAAGTTAGTGTCCTCATGTTGGGCTTTTTTCTTAACTTTTACGGGAAAATAAGTGTCCCTATGTCAAATTGTCCACAGGTATAGGTGTCCGCATGTTGGGGTCTCACTGTGCATAATGTTTCAACTAACCCTGCGTGAATTTCAACCAGATTTTATTTCGTTTGTGCTCCACAAAGTTCCATTCATACACCAAGGAAGACCGATTATTTGAGTTTCAAGTGTCCCATTAGTGAAATCGCCCGCATGTTGGGGTGTCCGTATATGTCGCCGCCCTGCTTCAAAATGCTTGAAATTTTAAACGAATTCTAAAGGTTTTGGAAACGGATGGTTTCAAAACTACGGAGGCAAGACTGTACCTATACGTCTGTCGCCTTGAACTCAGTAAGCCGAAAAAACAAGGCACGCATTTAAAACCAAAGCGGATTCTTTCCAACTTTCTTTTCCGCCGATTCCCCTCACATCCCCCCCTCTTTCACGCTGAACCTTATCCTCAGTCACGAGTGATGCGAGTATTGAGGGGAAGAAAAAATGAATAAAGCAGAAAAATGCAACAACAACAAAAAATAAACAGGGAGAAAAGAAATTCGGCGAAATGGGGATATGAAGCAATGGAAGGAAACTCCAGAGAAAACACAAACGCGAATGAAGAAGAAGGGGAGACATGAGGAGAGAAAAATTACACGAATGGGGTATAAGAAGGCATGTTCTTGTTCTGGCTTTTTGGAGCCGATATGGTTCTGGGTCGGGTTGGATTCGTGCCATTCCTTCCCGCTCCCACGGGTGTTCCTGGGGTTCGGGTAGAGAAAAATGAAAACAAAACAAAAAACCCCGGGTCTCACGTCTGCGCTCTTTTTTTTTTTTCTTTTTTTTCATTTTTTTTTCAAATTATACAAATTCTCTTCCTCGTTCCGGATGCGACATGGTTTACTCAACGGTCACGAGAAACTCTTTGTAGTTCGCATTGCAAGCGTGACACCGAAATTTCATCTCAATTTAGCCAGCTTTGCCAATTTTAAATTGGTCCTTTGGAGAATCATTATTTAAAATAAATAAATTAAATTAACTGCACCTATGCGAGAATATTGTGGTACCCCAGACGTTTCCCATAGTCGAGGATTTTCCCGAGGATATTCATGTTTGTAAAAAATCGTGCAGCTCAACTTTCACCCATTGCCAGTTGTCCCATCAAACTGAAATTCTACAGACGTACATCATTGATGTATTTTCAAATGATCCCATATTCACTGAAGTGAAAGCTCACATTTAAATTCATAACTCCACCAGTTGAACAAAATTGTACGGGAGTCACAGAATTTTTCATCCTTTCTTATATTTTCCAATCGAATACATCTCTCATTTAAAATTGTGTTTTAATTGAACATTTTAACCTTTCCAGACTGCGTGAACTTCCGAAAGTCTCGAGTGGCACATGAATCGGAGAAAATCAGACTTTCCCCGTGATAAAATGCTCACTTTTTCTCTGTTCGTCAGCTTCGTAGTGAAATATGATTTTTTTTTCTGAAGTGGGTTGATCAATGGATTTCTCTTTTATGTGTATTTTAAAATTTGTTTTGGGAAGATTCGAGCACGTTCCCATCTTCCACGTGATTCCACTGGAATTATTTTTATTTATAAATATATATATTTTCTTATAAAATATTCCGTCGGCGTATTTTTCAAGATTTGCCCGAACCTCGATTTTACCCGAAATTTATTTTCAGATGCTCGTCATTCCCTGAAGCATTCTTATTTTTCAGGATTGATTTCCAAAGTTTCATAGAGAGGAATGTTCAACCAATCTGATGATTTGGTTCTTTTTGTTGAACCAGTACTCAGATTCCGGCGTGAAAAAAATGTGATCAAATTTGCAAGAAACGCGCGACACAAGAGAGCATGGAATGAGCGAACATGTAGAGGGTGTCCGAAATGCTTCGGTGCCACAGATTTTAAAAAATTAGGGATTGGTACTTTTTTGCTTTTTTTTCTTCCAATATTTTGACAACTATTTTTATTTATTTTTATTTTCGTATACAATATTATAATATTTATTATATATATTTATAAATATATATATTTTCTTATAAAATATTAAGTCGGCGTATTTTTCAAGATTTGAGAAACACCACAAATTTACACAACACCGTAACTTTTTTTGACACCCAGTACAATTGAAGATGCACATGTCAAGCACGTAAAAGCATTCCGAAAGAAGAAGAGATCGCGTGACTTATTTATAAAAGTTGGTTGCATGTCAGTATGTTTGTAAAAGTGTCAATGCATCGGCTTAGTACATCGATGAATTGAAATTGAATATTCAAAGCAGTAGTCAGTTAATGCATATCTACAGAAGAAAAAGATGAAGAAAAATAAAGTCATTCCCGAACAGCACTGAAAGATGAAATGAACGTTCTAAGATTTGCTATGTACAAAAGCTGACGGGCACATTTAGTTTGCCAAATACATGATCAGTATACTCACACTGCTCTATGTCGAAATTTCTGCATTTGGAGGAATAACGCAAATGATTTAATTATGGAAAATTCGAAAATTCACGTCTACGGCTATTGTCGAATTTTTTTTTCTATTTAAATTCTGCGATGATGCAGCAAAATTGTAGTGTATTGAATTAATGTTGTGAAAGCAACCTTCTTTTTTTTTGGTGTGCGAAGGATTCCAACTTCGATGAGTATAGGAATTGAAGGAGATTTTACTCACCTCGGGCTCTAAGAATTTGATTTTTGTTTCTTTCTTCGTCTCGTCCTTCTTTTGCACTTCCTTCTTTTCGACTGCTTCCACTTTGATTTCCTCTTTCTTTGTGACTTTTTTGAGGCTAATTTCTTCTTTCTTTTCCACTTTGATCTCTTCCTTTTGTTCAACCTTCTTCACAAGCTTTTTCTCCTCCACCTTTTTCTCTTCCTTCTTTTCAACTGTTTTCTCCTCTTTCTTTTCAACAGTTTTCTCTTCCTTCTTCTCAACCTTTTTCTCTTCCTTCTTTTCTTCCTTTTTCTCCTCCTTCTTCTCTTCCACTGCTGAAAGAAAATTCCGGCAATTCTAGCATTACACGCAAAAATACTCAAGTCTTCGCACTGTTTTTAAAATGAATGCATCACCGATTTTTAAAATCAATTCATCTTTTGAGGTCTCGGAGAAATGTATGCACAGAATATCTTAATTTTAGTTATTTTTGATTTTGTTGGTCACAGTGACTTCGGTGAGGGTAGATGTCACTGGCAGCCATTTAGAAATGAAATCTACTTCTACTCTATTGAAATACATCATATTCTTCTGGGGGTTGCAAACGTTCTCTCGTGGATAGACCCAGAAAAATTACTTTGAATAAATTCATTACATTCATCGAACTTGAAATTTTCACCGGTTTTTTTTTTTCACCGCGATGAACGAATTTTATTTTGATTTTTTCATTGCATATCTTCGTTCTTTTATCCAAGACTATGCCTTTCTTTCATTCTCCTTAAAATTCAGCTTGGAAAATATTTTGAAGTATAGTGTACTATTTAATATTTTAATTATTACTTTTTACTTCTAAAAACGAAAACAAAGAAAAAATTCATGAAGAAATTTGTTACCTTCAACTGTGAGACTTGCAGAGGATTCCTCGGATCCAAACTCGTTCTTGATGATGCATTTGTAAATGCCATTGTATTCGGCTGAACAGTTTTTGATGGTCAGTTTAGCCAGAGATCCAGTGAAAGAAGTCGAAATTTCTTTCGTTTCCTTGATCACCGTCGATCCTCTGAAAAAAAATTATGCAATTGAAAACTTTGTTGTGAAAACCCGCGAAATAATTAAAATAAATTAATCCCTTGTTTTCAACCTCAGGCTGAAAAGTTCCATCTGCCTTAATATCATTGTTTTACATTTTTTTTTTTGTATTTAGAGCACTCACTTGTACCATGTGACCGACGCCTTTTGATCAGATTTGGCCAAACTGCACGAAAACTCTGCCATTTCTCCAACCTTAACTTTCTGTTATTATAAAAAGGGAATACAATTTTCAATCAGAGCTGGAATTGAAAATTTGAAGTGTTTACCGTTCCAGTGAGACCAGAAGCGATGCTAGGTTTCGTCCCCTTTGGCTTTTCCGGCTTCTTTTCCTCTTCCGGTTCCGGGATTTCAGTGACAACGACTTCTGAAGACGTTGCTTCACCTTTGTCATTTTTGGCAATCAACTTGTACAAACCCTTGTCAGACTCGGCTGCTTGCTCAATTTCAAGTTGGACTTCATATTCGCCCTGGAAAAGTACCCGAACGAATTTGAAATCGGCGTTTGGAACTGGGACGTGAAAATCTCCTCCTCTCAACACTTATCTTTTTAAATATTTTTTTAATTCTCGGGCATTCCTGAAAAAAAGTATTCTGATTTTAAAATGATACTAAGATTATATTCGTCGATGTGTGTCAATCATTCGAGGGTGAACGGAATTAAAACAACTCTTGTAAAATTTGGCCACAACCCTCGAAAGAATTCGCTGTGAAAACTTCATCTATTAAATTTTGAACCATACAGAATTTTTTTTCGGTTCTACTGATGGTCCCATTATGCCACTAGAATTATTAGATTGAACATATTTTGAAAGATAATTGAATGAACACTGTCCCCAGTCTATACATTTTTAGTACAGTACAATAGCTTTACCATTATTCCAGGACTCCTCAGTTTCAAATGTATGCTTTGTTGGTCGACTTCCTTTCATGATTTAAATGTTTCGCAAAATTTTCTGGTCTTATTCTATATTTCGCACATGAACTTTTTGAAAATGATACTCAGTGGACCACCACACGAGTGTATAGCAGACGAATTTAGTTGAAGCCTTTGCGAAAGTTAGTTGGTTCCTTTTTGAAAAAAGACCGTACGTGTAACGATTTTCTTTAGACGATGGGAACGAAATCATTGAAGTGTGATTTATTATTGAAACAATTTTGTTGGAAATTCCTTTTCCTGAGCGCTTTGAACTGTTACTACCATAAAATAGCTTTCAGTACATAGTTCTTGAATTTTGCCCCCGAAGTTTTCCTGTTTCACTTCAGAATTCTGGATATGATTCCAATGAATGTAATGAGAACTTCTGCGAAGTCTCACCTTCGCTGCCTCTTTAATATGAATAACGTGTCTCGAATCTTCTCGAACGACTGTTGATTCCTTGTGCCAAATTACTTGCGGTCGAGTTTGTGACTGGACACGACATTCAATGACCACTGTTCGTGTTTCCCTGGTGATGCGAATGACTTTTGGCTTCTCTCTGATCACGGGTGCAACTGGAAAAATGTTTTTTGAAAAATAGTACAGTGGATCTTTTTTTAAATTGATGAAATATTCTCACCCTCAATATTCAGGTTCAGATTCGCGTTCAATTCTCCGAACTTGTTTTCAACGTGGCATTTGTAAGAACCCGTATCGTCTGCTCCGGGATCCTGCAAAAAAAAAAAAAAATCGCGTACGAATTTGAATTTCCATTGAGGAATGGCGCGACAATTTCAATTTTCCACGTTCATGAGAACTAAGATAATAATCAGGTTGTTCGTGGTTTACCGCATCATTTTGAGTTAACGAAGTAGAATAGTGTTGAAATCTTCTGGATTTTGTCCGAAATTTCAAAGAGAATATGTATAATTAAATTATATTTCTGTAAATTTGCGATGAATTAAATTCTCCATACTGTATTTCGAAGTAAGCTTTACTAAATCAAACAATTCATCTACTGCCCAAGTACAATTCTCTGCGAAAATGTTTTTCAAAATCTGAAAAGGTGGTTCAAAATGCACTGCCATTTTGGAAAAAACGTAGAATTTTATGAAAATTAATTCAAAATTCAGAGAGTGAAGCCAAATTTTCAATTTCTCGCCTGCGGTAAATTATATTATATGATATATATTATATATAATTATATTATATCTGCATCGGCTGGAATTATACGATGTCGAAGAAACGTACCTTGACTTCCAAATAGTACTCAAACGTTTCTGCATCGATTTCCACAGTTCGGATGCAGATTCGAGTACTTTCTTTAACCCGTGCCTTTCCTCGGTACCAGACAAATTCTGGCTTTGGTTTCGCTTTCACTTTGCATTGCATGGTGATTAATGTGCCAGTGGCATTCGGAACAATTTTGGGTTTTTCCAAAAAGGTGGGTGCGTAGCCATCGGGCTTTTGCTGCTCTTCTTCACCTCCTGAAATAATCGAAAATAGTTGAAATTCAATATGTGTTCGTATTTAATCAACACTTCCTTCCATGATTCTAGTCATGAGCCTTTTAAACGAATCGTCTCAAAATTTTACTTACAGAGATTCAGCATGCGGATGGATTTTTTTTTAATTGCCACTTTTTGAAATTGGCATATTTCCTTAACGATTGCATTGAAAATTGAAAATTTATTTACTCTTGAGTTGCTTTCAATTTCATTTTCTTAAAGTGCCTTTGTATGACCAGCGTCTAAATTGGAAGAAAACAAGCCGAGTGATACATTTTAATTACTCCATTCTGCAGCTTCTGGGCTTACACTTTCAAATTTTGTTTAAATTTCGCACGCCTTGAAATTACTCATAAACCACCAGTCAGTCGACGCATTTCCATTGCTGTAAATATAATACATTTTCTGTAAATGTATTATANCGGTACCAGACAAATTCTGGCTTTGGTTTCGCTTTCACTTTGCATTGCATGGTGATTAATGTGCCAGTGGCATTCGGAACAATTTTGGGTTTTTCCAAAAAGGTGGGTGCGTAGCCATCGGGCTTTTGCTGCTCTTCTTCACCTCCTGAAATAATCGAAAATAGTTCAAATTCAATATGTGTTCGTATTTAATCAACACATCCTCCCATGATTCTAGTCATGAGCTTTTTAAACGAATCGTCTCAAAATTTTACTTACAGAGATTCAGCATGCGGATGGATTTTTTTTATTGTCACTTTTTAAAATTGGCATATTTTCTTAACGATTTCATTGAAAATTGAAAATTTATTTACTCTTGAGTTGCGTTCAATTTAATTTTCTTAAAGTGCCTTTGTATGACCGGCGTCTAAATTCAAAGATAACAAGCTGAATGGTAAATTTTAATTCCTCCATTCTGTAGCTTCTGGGCTTACACTTTCAAATTTTGTTTAAATTTCGCACGCCTTGAAATTACTCATAAACCACCAGTCAGTCGACGCATTTCCATTGCTGTAAATATAATACATTTTCTGTAAATGTATTATATCTTGGTTGAAGTATGTATTATAGTTCAAAAGGAAAACGATCACTGAAATGGCAGATGCAGTCAGTTTTCCTCTCTCACTTTTTTGCTCCTCATCTCGGAAGAAAAAAAATATGTGCAGTATTTTCATTATTTTATTAGTTCGCGGAAAATGGATAAAATGAATGATCTAGAAATGTTTTTAGGAGATGGTAATTTTTTTACCCACTCTGTAAAAATTAAAAAATTTGGTACACCTTGTCCTTTTCATCGCTGTCAAATTTTCTTGGCGTGTGTTAATGTCGAAAAGCGGGATTTTCAATCAACCGGTAATTTAAGATACCGTATTCACGTTGAAATATTTTAATTATTATTCTAAAACGGTGTGCTTTATTTAATATTACACGAAATTCCGTCCCAATTCCGGATTTCAATGCTGAGTTACAAATCTATTAAGGCAAAAAATAATTTTGTTTTACATCTTTTTAATATAGACAGTGGTTATATTTTGTAAGGTTTTTTACTTGTTCTAGCTTACCTTGGAAATTGAGCGAAATGTTAGCATTGCTTTCCCCGCAAGCGTTGTGAGCATTGCAACGGTATTGTCCGCCGTCGCTTTTGGTCGGATTTGAGATTTCGAGTGTCAACAAATAAGTGTCNTAGCTTACCTTGGAAATTGAGCGAAATGTTAGCATTGCTTTCCCCGCAAGCGTTGTGAGCATTGCAACGGTATTGTCCGCCGTCGCTTTTGGTCGGATTTGAGATTTCGAGTGTCAACAAATAAGTGTCCTTTCCGGTTACTTTTTGCGTCATTTTGATCCTTGGATCCGCATTCGGTTCTATTGCCTTTGAGCCCTGGAACCACCGAATGGTTGGAGCGGGATGCGCTTCCAAAACGCATTCCATGATGAGGATTTCTCCTTGCTGTCGGATCCCGGGTTTCTTGGGAAATCGCGGTGGCTTTCCTTCTGGGATCCTACGCAAAAAAAAAAAAAAAAAAAACGAGAGCGACCCGAAAGATATATTTTTCAATCAGAGATCAACGACCAGGGCTCCGCGGATCCCTAGGGGCTCCATCTGAGCTTCCAAGAGGCCCCGTTAACAATCCAGGAATGTAAGAAAGTATATGGTTCAGGGAACGTAAATTTCAAGCGGTTCGGCAAAGCATATATGCAATAAATTTTGCGCGTCCGCAATTCTCCGTGGAAAGCTTGAACAAAGAAAAGGTGTATTTTTCTTCGGAGTTGGGATACAGTTATATAGCGTATGTAATTTTCAAGACATTTTGTTATGAGTTTTTGTCATCTGAAATTATTTTAAAGATGGCTTCTGGAAACTGGGGAGAAACTTTGGTCGAAATCAATTTCAAAATCGTTGTTTCAAAAATGAATGCGTGCCCCTACTACAGCATATATGAGCTTGATTTACAGAAGCACCGTCTTTGATCGAAATATTTAATCGATGACATTTGTATCTTAATTTTCACAGATATTATGTGAAAATCTTCTAAAGTCGAGGTGTAAGAAAATGGTCAGCTGTACACATCTTGGATGTTAATTTTTAAAGCGTATGATTGAAGCGAAATGTTTTTCTCAAAATTACAAACGGTATTTATGTTTTCAAAATTCTGTCTATCGGATATTATCACAACTAAAGTTTGTTTGTGCTTTTTTTTCATTTAAATTCGCACTTCATGAATGCAGATAATACACTATACACTCATCAAAATTTAATATATAGTCAAGACCTGCACAGCTTGATCTAAAACTGTATGAAACTCGACATTTTCAACTTTTTAAACAAACAATTTCGAGCTTTACCTGCACTGCAAATTAAAATTGTCAACTGTTAATTTATATTGCAAGATTAACAATTTTCCCCCGTCATTTATTTGAAAAAATTTTCCGAGTCCGAATCTAAGTACAGTACTAAATTACAGTATATTGTACTGCTTATGGTTATAATGAAGCTCACTTCGGCTTTTCTGAGCCAGCATCGAAATTGAGGTTGATGCTAGCGACACCTTCTCCAAGTTTGTTGGAAGCAACGGCTTTATATTCTCCTTTGTCGCCAGAGTTCACTCCAATGATGACGAGCCGCACGATGTGATACAGTTTCGCATCCTCCTGCATCGACATCTTGTAACGTCCTCCTTCGCGAACTTGCTTGTCTCCATGAAACCTGATGTGCAGTACATTGAATCAATCAAGTCAGTTGCTTTAATCAATTCAGGTCTATCTTTTAATTTTCGTATTTACCAAGAGACGATAGGAACAGGATCGCCGACTAGTCGGCATTCGAAGGTAACCGTCGTACAATCATCCGACTGTCGAATAACTGGCCTTTCCGTGAAAGTAGGCTTTATTCCGTCTTTTGGCGTCGGGGCCTCGTCACCTTTAAAGTAGAATAATTAATCACAGATGATTGAGTTCATTAGCTTGCCATCATTTTGATCGAGGAGCGGCTAATTTTGATTCTCGTGTCACGATTATACTCGATTATACGATCATGCTGTATGCGAAGCCTACAAAATGCAAGCCTTTTCTTAAATTACAGTATTTTTTGTCGATTTTTCGTTTCTTTGTTAGAGGTGCTGCATGTCGATGAAAATTATTTCCACGCGATAAAATTGTATCAGAAGAACTGTAAGTAAACGTAAGTTTATGACATGTTTTAACTTTCCGCTCTTTCAAACCTTATGGAAATCCACTTTAGTAAACACTTCTTAATAACAGGTTGAAGGTGTGAAACCCACCAAGTATAATTTTTCAAGGTTATATCACAGCTACTAAACACTTCGAATATTTAAAAAACTGCATTAAAGAAATATCCCTGATTTTGACAAACCGTTTTACAAGAAAAGAAGGTGGGATATTTGTCAGTTGATCTTCTCTCAGCTAATTTATAATTCATTGCTAGTCGAGTTCCCTGAATAACGATGCACTGTACTTCCGATCTTCGAAACTCGAAGCCTTTTCACGCCTAACAAATATTATTACAGTGTTCGAATTTTCTGATGCCTTTCGGTGATTATTCTTGAATGACTTTCTGTACCGAATTTAGGTTATTGAATTTGTAGGTTTTTCAGGTGATGACATTATTTTGCGCAATGGCAGTTCTAATGTGCAAAAACGAGCAAACTCCATTGCTGAGAAATTTTTCAGAAGTGGACCTTTGCCATTATTGTATTTTCACGAACTGAAGAACATCATGAATCAGTTTTTCGGGTTCCACTCGGGAAATCTGACTGAATTTCAATCTTGGAACTTTGTTTTATTAAAGCTGAATGTGAAATTCGTTCCCAAGTATCAAATGATGAGCAAGAAGTTTAATCAAAGAAAATTCTCAGAAAATTAGCGCCGCCTTTTTTCTTGGGACTTGTTGGTCCCGCAGTAAGTTTAAGAATTTTGAATCCCAGAAATGCGGGTACACAAGGATATTCTTTTATGATAAATGTAACCATTTAATGAATTACAATAAGCCCCAAAAAAAAACGTAAGCAAAAGCACATAAAACGAGAAAAATCTTTATCCTCGAGACAATCGCAAATTTGGTCAAATGCTGTATGCCGTTAGAATTTGAAACATTCCAAAAGTTAAATCTGTCGGCAATTTTTCGCTCTGCTGCTCTTGATGACAACTGTTCGAAAATGTCTTCAAAGCGATTCGGACATGGATGAAGTAACAGCTTTCCGACTTTCCAGTAGGTGCAATTATTAATTGAGAGAAGAAAAGAAAAACAAATTGAAACGAACTTACTGTCAAAGTTCAAACTGATTGTGGCGTTGCTCTCGCCGAGTTCGTTCTTGGCCGTAACCTTGTACTTTCCAGCGTCTTCCACTGTCACGTCATTGATGTCCAG